CCCCAAAACCCCAAAACCCCAAAACCCCAAAACCCCATGATCATTGATATTTATTCCAAAATGAGCAATTTAAAAAATCATTAATTTTTCATTATTCTTAAATGACTTTGACTAAATTATTGTCTTTCCACTCACCTATAATCAATTTTCCATTGGCTTTTTCGAGTTCTCCTCTTCCCTGAATAACATCATTCACCCAAGAAGCCCTTAATATAGTTCCATCAGTGTAGGTAAGAGTGCCTGGTCCATTCCTCATATCATTCTTGTAAGCACCCTCATGAATGCTTCCATCCTTAAGCACGCTTTTTCCTATTCCTTATCTTTATCCATTTTCAAAGTAACCTTCATATGTAGTTTTATCTTCATACTTTCTGATTCCCTTCCCAAATTACTAGCCTTATTTCCATTCTCCATTGTAAAAGTAGTTGTTTGGACCAGTCATTGTGCCCATTCCATGCATTCTTCCGCAAGCCCACTGTCCATAATAAACTGTCCTTGTTGATACAAATTCCATCTTTCCATAGCCATGCTTCATATCCCCTGCCCATTCTCCGCTATATTTGTCACCATTAGTTAGGACATGCTCCCCTCTACCCTCTCTAAGATTGTTTTTGAAATCACCTCTGTAATGAGAACCATCATTAGCATATCTGATTTCTCCTTTTCCATCTTTTACAATGCCATTAATCATTTCTCCATAAAATGAGTTGCCCTGTTCATCTATGAGCGACTTTCTTTCCCTTATGACTGGTGATAATGGTTTTGGTTGCTATTATTACTGCTATATCTGATTCATCCTGTTTTGCTAAGACAATCTATGAGCCTGCTAAATGTGATGCACATGAGAAAGTTACTCCGGACTACCTCTATCCTATATCTCTCTTGACTAATCTAATTAATCATTTGTTTGATTGTCTATAGACTGATATTTCCATCTATTGTCTTCTTGATCAATTGATTATTATGAGTTCTAATTGTAGTTAATATGCTGATTTTGGTTGTAATTTTACTCCCCTTAGCTATAGTTATTTTACTCTCTATCAAAACTATTCTCAAATTCCTGATAAAATTGCTAATTAATTTGATTGTCTTCATTTTAATTCTGGTAAGATATCACTCTAGTGTTGTTGCTGTTTCTGCTAATTGGAGAGAGACTCTTTTGGTTTGGATCTCTTATTCTAATGTTTGAATTGTCTCTGTGCAACTTCATTTAACTTCCAGCTCCTGATCTGTTGGTACTCATAAATTTATTAGAGCGATTATCCTATGTTAAATACTATTAATCATAGTCATTATTTTGATATCTAGGACTTTTGATATTTCAATGAACACTATTTTAACCTTGATTTTAATCTGACTTTAATTAGAAAGATTGATTCTTAATTTTCACTTTTAGATACTTATCTAGTAGATAATTCAAATCCTCTTGAAATCCTTCAAAGTCAAAATCAACTTCTAGTGGCTCCTAATCTTCAATTATACCAAGAGTCTCTTGATGAAGTGTATGCAACTCAACAACTTTTTTTTCCTTCTACTAATTATCTTGTTGTCCGAGGATATAATCTCCGTCTTTAAGTGCCTTACTAAGATTAAAATTGATTTCTTAATACTCATGGTCTCTTACTCTTTATTGTTCTCTGTGAAGTATGACCATGTGATTATTCATAAAACTCTAAGTTCTTGGGTAAATTTGCAATTAAATGTGCTATGCAGCCTATTCAAGTGACTTCTGAATTTGAACAATGCAGTTTTATATTTAATTTTCAGAGATTCGATTGTTAATATCTTCTTTAAGCTGTTTTAAATCTTTGATTGATAACTTAAGTTAATAGTTTAGAGAATGAGGAGCATATTAGGAGATACCTGAATGACTTGAAGATATGCCTAGGTTTTTATTGTTTGCAGAATTCACATTGTTGGTTAGGTTTTGTTAATGAAACTACTACTATTAAGCTATTCCTTAAAGAGATTATTGCTGAGAATCAGTTTATCCAAAATGTGGCAATGCTTACGATTAAGGTAATAGCTACTAATTCTAGAGATAATTTGACTGATTGTTTTACTAGGGAGCTCTAATGAATTAGTTTTAAACTTGATTATTTGAAGTTCCATTGATATTTTAATGCCCTGCTGAATTGAAATTCATTGAATGCTACATCATTTTCTAAATTTTAATTTTATTTGATTTATCACTTGACTTTTCTAGGTGGGGTTTTGGGGTTTTGGGGTTTTGGGG